GAACAGATAAATTCGTCTAAATTAATATTTCAATGATTGTTGCAGATATCTATTGATGATAATGGTTCAAAGCATATATGTTTGTCATGCTATGATAAAATTATTTTTTGCAACAAGTTCATTGAAGATGTACTAGAATATTCTAAAGAATTACAGGATGAATCACAGATAAAATCTTTGTTTGACTTATCTAGAGAAATGACAGACTTTTCAAAGATTCATAATGATGCTGTATATACATGTCCTAATTGTAAAATTGGTTTAATGATTCTATTAGTCAGTAATTCTCAAGGCTGTGATTATACCTTTCAAATCGCATTAGCTATGGTAAATCATTCAGAAAAGAAACATATTTTAAAAGAGAAAAATATACAAATACATAAAAATTTAATACATTTCAATAATATTAAGAATAACAATGTACATCTTAAAGATGTAAGTAAAATGACAGACATAGAAGACATTGAAAATTCGCATGATCAAGTGAGTTTTACATTACCAGTGTTACAACAAGAAGATGCAAATTGTTTTGATAAACCATCCGTTAAAGAAGATTCAGAAATAATGACACAGAAAAGAAGAAAAAGAAAACTCGTTAAAACTGAATTTTATGAAGATTCAAGTAGTCTTACAAAAGTACTAAAATTGAAGAAAATGTACGAATCTAATGAAAATTTATTGGTCTATAACAATGACTCCGTGAACACTTTAATAAAGATTGAACCAGAAAGTGACAATGTTTGTGAAGCAGACAGCGAAACTGATATTAAAAGTAACAAAAATTCACACGTGAATCAATTATACACACTTGAAAAGGATCAGACTCAAGAAGAAAATGATATTTATAAATCTTGCTTGAAATATGTCTGTAAATTTTGTGGAGTACGTTATCTTTCCCACATGAAATATGAATTTCATATGGAGAGGCACAAATTAGATAAAATGTACAAGTACATATGTACATTATGTAGTAAAGAAACAAGCAATGAAAACTTACTGTGGGATCATTACTTTCACACTCATAAAAGTTTACAACGTTACATATGTACAGAATGTGGGAAATTATTTGCGAAAAGGTCCAGATTAAATGGTCATCAAAAAATGTACAATCATAAAGGTGTGAAACAGATCCAAGTTAATTCTAGCGATGATAATATTAACAATGATATCATACAAAAAGCTATAGCTGAAACTGAACAGAGGAAACATTCTGTAAACTGTAATCTCTGTGGAAAAATAATTTCCGATTTCAATGCCGATGCTATTAATGATCTAGTTACATGTGCCGACTGTGAAGACTCTACTCTTTCTCTTATGGTAGATGGCAATGAAACAAAAGTAATCTCTCCTCGACAATATCACTGCACTCAGTGCCCAAAACACTTTGTACGAAAAGAAAGACTGGAGTTTCATGAAATGAGGCACAATGAAAACATGAACGAATTCGTTTGCAGTACTTGTGGAAAAGAATTTAGAGCAGAGAATTCATTATACGAGCATTACCTTTTCGTTCACAAAGGCGCGAGGCCTCATATTTGCGAACACTGCGGTAAATCGTTCCAATTAAAAGCTAGGTTGAAAGAACATCATCGAATTCATACAGGTGAAAGACCCTATCAATGTGATGTTTGCGGTCAAAAATGTAGAACCACAAACGCGTTGAAGCTACATCGGAAGATTCATTTTTCCAATAATAGATATACTTGCAATGTGTGTAATAAGTCATTCAGTAAAAAACAGAATATGAACGAGCACTTAGAAAAGCATTGGAAAAACGATAAAAACGTGACATTACCAGAAGTATTTAGATGTCCAATTTGTTTAGAAAACTTCCCAACATATCGTATGTTGAAGTATCATATGATCGAAATTCATAAATTGAATAATCAGGATCCAATTCTTACAAAACAAAAGCCGTGGTACGAATGCGAAGAATGTCACGAAAAATTCAAACATCAAATGTCTTTAAAAGCTCATAAAGAGAGGGTACACGAAGGGAGAGTAGACCCACTCTATCAATGTGATACATGTAACACTACTTACAGAGTTAAGCAACTTCTAGTGAATCATATCAACAGTAAACACAACGGCGAAAGGCGCTACAAGTGCGCACAATGTGAAAAGGGATTCAATGATACAAAATCCTTGTATAATCATGTGCTGTTGCATACTGGGAAAAAACCGTATGTTTGCGAATATTGTAACATGCGTTTCAGAAGAAAAGATTCCAGAGATCATCACCGTAGAAAACACACAGGTGAACAACCTTATCAGTGTCCAGATTGTGGAGAATCATTTTCTACATATAATAATCGGTCCAAGCATCGGAAACGGGAACACGGGGAAGATCCTGAATGTCCTGAGTGTAAGGAGAAATGCAGCAGCCAACAGGAAGTTAGAATCCATTTGAATAAACATCTTGGAGAAAAATTGAAGGAACTACAAAGTATAAATAGTGAAGAGGCATAGATCAAACTATAAATGAAGGATTACTGTTAAATGTTTTTGTTATTGTATCAATTTGGATTTTCGTTAGTATCAATTTTATAATAATACTTATTAAATTAATAACGATACTATCTCTTTTCTTTTTATTAATTCCTCACTTTTATTTATTCAAAACATATTTTCACACTTGGAAATTAATGTGAAAAACTTGTTATCGATCGTATTCGTTAAATTCTATCGAATTTATATAATTTTCGTGTTGTTTTGCACCGTTGTTTTTGTAATTTTATAATATTTAATATTAAACTAAA